ATCAAATCACTACAAAAACTGCACATGCAGAACATTGTTGACATTCCTCAACCATCTGCACTTCTCACCATGAAGGCCTCCGGTGCTGCCAGTGACCAGAATGCGTCCCTGGCTCTGAGCCTTCATCTGTGGCAGGAATGCCTGGATGGTCTGGATGGTACCTAGGAGGTTAACCTCCAGGATGTGCCTCATTGAGTTCAAAGACTGCACCTCCAGTGGCCCCATCAAACCCGCACCAGCATTACACACTGCAAATAGCAAGAATAAGCACATTAACCCACTCAAATCACATTTTCCAATCCTAATCAGAACACACTGGCACGGGTCCATACCCAGAATGTTTATGCGTTTTTCCACAATCCCATCTCTTGCATCCAGGATGGACTGCCGATCAGTCACATCCATTTGGAGTATGTCGAAAGTGTCCCTGTGCAGGCCTTTCACGCTCTCCAAAAGACGCTCCTTTTTAGACAAGTTTCTCATTGTTGCATACACTGAACAGAAAGCTTCAGTTAATGATGATTTTAAATGTGTATGTAAAAAGGAATTTACAGAGTAGACCCCCAAGGAGGTAAATGGTTTTCACACAACATTTAATTAACAATGTGCATGGAAGATTCATCTGCTAAGTTATTTGTATAGGTCACATAAAATTGCACAGTGTACATCATCTTAGTGGTTTTAATGGTTCTTAAAAGCCAGTCTTTAATGTAATGCATATTCTCAAAGAGAAGATTGACACATACACAGCTTTGGTTACCTTTGAATGTTTTGTCTGGGTCTGAGGCAAGCCGGACAGCCAAGCTGAGACCGATCCCCGAGGAGCAGCCTGTGATAAGCACCACCTGTTTATCCATGGAGCCTAACTCACCTACATTAAAAGAGCAGCTGGAGCAAAGCGAGGAGGATACTGCAAAATGAGCCACGGAGTAAAATGGAGGCATGTGAAAACTGTTTTTACATCTACGCTATCACAAGGACATTTATGACTAAACATCTGCCCATTATCAGCCACCTGGAGTCCTTCTATTTTTTTCTCATGTCCTTGTTGATATAGTTTCATTCCTTCCAGCTGCGATGGGTGGGAAACAGATTGTCATGTTGTTGAGTGGTTGATGAATTTTCCAGCAATATAAGTGCATGCATGTTTATATAGGCTGGCTGTGGAAATATAATGTGTGTGCATTTCAGAAAATTATTAGTTTAGAGAAAGAACAACATATTAACAATGTGTCTGTGCATTGGCTACATTTTGAATGGCACCAATGACATGAGCACCAGGTGGCAGCAAAACCCTGTACTGGACTTGTACCACACAACTAAAGCCACACTGACCTCTGGGGGCTTGATCGAGGAAAAGAAACATCTCACAATAGTGAGAAAGGGAACAATGGATTTTATTTTAGGACATCAAGTCATCAAGTTTAAGTTTTGTTCATTAAGTGCTGTTCTCATAAGGTCGTTGACTCACATCCTGTTGACAGATTTGTATTGGGTGAAGGTCTACGTATTCTGTGCCCCATATGCTACGCCAGCTGATAAAAAAAACTCTCTAAAAATGGTATTAAATGACCCTTTGAGAGAGATTAGTTTTCTTTTGTACTGTTAGCACGTTTAAGGATAAGCTTCTATAATTAGAAGCTGAGTTAAATTCAAGCACGAGGGAAAAATTGAGTGTTATAATGCAAAGGTGTAAAACCAGTCTAACGTAATCTTCAGTCTTGTCACCTTTGATTGCACGTGTTTGGAAAAGAAGCATTTCCAAGATAAAAACTGCAAACTAAATGGGTTTTTAATGCTGGAAGGAAATAAACAAGGAAGTACGTATATTTCAATTTCAACGAGGATTCTGTTCAGGTGTTTTATTGTGCAAGCTCTTAATGATGATAATTAAATTAAGTTAATATTTGCACAGGAGTGAGTTTTAAATAGGCTCCCAAGAAAGTATAGATAAGAAATAATAAAAATTTAGCAACCATTTAGCGATCGTGAACTGTCAGAATTTACAATAAAATTAACGTAAATTTTCTTTCTATTCAGAGCCAACAAAAGATTGTTATTAAGAATCATACAGTGTATTCTATTCTACTATTTCTTTAATCTCTCCCTAAGCTGTTATCATAACATTTCCATTCTTTTACAGCTGAGTGTTTCTGGTAAGTCAAAATAACTTGGATCTCTATGGAACATTTCAGCAGGCGGATTTAAAAAGAATTTCTTATGTTGATGGGACCAAACCAAGTAGGAATTTCCTGCCATTTTGTTGCGTTCCTCTCCTTGAGATGGCATCAGCTTGGCTGCTGTCCCAGAGTCTGTGGGACAGATAACAGCAGGCCTTGAACCTCTTTCAAATATCTTAAACTCCCAAGCATTGTTCAAACTCTTGTACTGGCTGACCTCAGAAATTTAACGGGTTTTATTTTGCTGGATGTTTTATTCATGCCGCATGCACATATGTTCATGTGTACGTTGTTATAGTTGTTGAATAAAAGGTGATGAGAAGCATGGAACTTTCTGTGGATGCTATGCGCAAATGCCGCTGGAAAATGAAAACTGATTATGCATGCATCTTTTTCTGTCTCCTTTAATCCGAAATGCACAGGCTGCACATCCTCCATTAGGTGTCTCTCAGTCCACTCTGGCAACGTGGTACATTCTATCTCCCGTGGGAGGTTCCTGCTCCACATGGCCTGCAGGCTCCCTTTGGCCAAATAATTATCAAGACAAGGTCTAGTGGAGATGCACACTGGCCTGGAAAAGCCTTTAAAATGCCTGTTAAGCAGGACCGGCTCACAGCACTCAAAGTAAACAGACTTCTGCAGATCTCACAGCTGCTGATGGAAAAAAAACAAGGATATCACACATACAGAGCTGTGTCTTTGTGACATTTTTCAGAGACAAGTAAAGTGCTTGATGGAGAGTCTGCCGTTGAGGTTGCAGGCTGGCCTTCTGCACTGAGATCACAGGGCAAATAGTGAAAGAGCTACTGTATATGGTACTTAAGGGGGGAAAAGCATGCCAGCTTGCTCCTGTCTATCTGTCTGTTCATGTGCTCCCCCTGCGGTGGACTGAGAGTCACATTGAACTTTGCTGTACCACAACAGACCCATGTGATGTAGACCCAGCAGGGTTTCAACAGCAGTGAGCGGCTTCAGAACCAGATGGGCTCAACAGGATATCCCATGTGAGAGTAATGAGCAGAAGTGAAAGAGCTGAAGACGTGTAGTGGTGGTTGTGGTGAAACTTAAATGTCACGCTATACCTGATAACAAGGTTAAACGAGGCTTCACTGGGGGCGTTTAAAGTAATCTAAGTAGCTTTCTCGACACTTTTCCCTCTTTGTATACGTGTAGTACAACACAAAACCATTTCTATGCAGATATATTAGAGCTTCCTTACCTGTCATGCCTTTCTATGAGATAATGTAATCGCAATAGTTCTCCAAAACAACAGGAAGACAAAAGTCTTATGAAGTTGTCTCGAAGCTGATACTTGGTAAATATTCACTGATGACATTAGGGCGCTCTAAAATTATTACATTTCTTTTTTTGTTTGCTTCTCTGTAGGTTTTAAGGACATGCAAACCTGCTGTGACGCTGATTCTTATATAGGTCAGGGTTTTCTGTGTCATGTCGTCTAATAAAAACTGCAGTCAGTAAAAAGTCTTTGCACAGTTGATGCAGATAATAAAACGGATGCAGTTCCTTTGAAGACAGAAATGCCACGCAAATGGTATAATTTGATTGGCGTGTCTCGTGTTGTCTACATGCCAGTAGATAATGTGACTTTGTTTTGATTTGATTTGAACTTTAATTCCCATCCAGCCACCTGAAAGCTTTTATTTCACTCAATAAAATGTGCACGTGTAAACTACAAAAATAAGTAAACTGTCTGTGTCTGGGAGTCATTCTGGGCTTCTGTCTGTTGCAGTTGGCTTTATTACTCATATGTTACAGGAAAAAAATAGAAGGTATCCCCTGTCCTGTGAAACCTACTGCACAACTCGGACCCAAGCGAGAGATCGAATGTATTCCCCGTTCTGAGAATTCATCCAGGAAGATAAAACCCAAAGCGAGTCTTTATATCGCATGCCTGCTTAAAAACTGCCAACTGTTGAGAGATGTGGCTTTTGCGAATTGTTTCGTTCTGACAACCTTGGAGCTCGTGGCAGGTTTACTTCTGTAAAGATCAGTTTTTCACAGTTTTTCACATGGTAACATACTGTAGAGGCAGTGGGGCTTACTCGGTCCTGGTAAAATCATCATAACTGAAACAGGAGAGGATAAGTGGAAAGTATGAAGGGTTTTGAGCTCACATGTACTGAGGCTGAATCAACACATTTTTGTATTTTCTGATGTATAGAAGGCAAACTATTTTAACACAAAAGCTCATTATTTACTATCCTTTAAAATGTATACTGTTGTAAAAGTTTTATTCTTAAGAAATCCAAACAATCGAAAAGCATTACTCGCAAACAAGCAGTACTTTCATAATTCAGTGTGCTTGCTGTGAGTCGAGGAAACAAATATAGACGTCAGTATTTTGGGTGAAGGCCATTAAAGCAAAGGTCATGTATAAGTTGCATGGGAGGACATTATATTTTATACATGTTTTTTATTTTTCTCAGAGATTTTTATATCAGAGATCTTTCAGGGTTATTTTTTTTAAAGTACCCTGCTTGACACGAGGCTCTACGTCAGCCGTAACCCCGATGGCCATTGCTTGACCTGCCGGTTTGGCATTCCACAGGACCCATTTGTGTACAAAACCTCTGCAGTCCAGGAAATGTCAAGCATTGTGTCATGGGAAATGTCTTCTTGTCTTGGATTAACTTTTCTAGACATTCTTTTTCGTCATGACATTGAGGACATCCTGTTCTCTTCTGGGCCTTTAAGCACTGGAGTCTGTCTTGGGACTAGACCTGGCAGCGGATTGATATCTTAGTCGCATCTTGAGCAAAATGTCAAAACAGCACAGTGTTAGCATGTACGCTGTGCCTCCTGCAGCTGCACCATCATAAAAACTTGTTTGGTCGACAGACACAAATCTATCTGACTTAGTATCAAAAGCTTTCTCTGTTGTGAGATCCAACTCTTTAGATAACATACACAAGAAAATATGGACCATCAAAATGTAGATTTTGATCAAAACAGAGTTTTTAAGAGAAACTCCATATCCAGCTTGGTGGAGATCATCAAACATCAAACTAAAGCCTTAGAAATGAATCATTTCATAAATATTTGGTGGATATAGTGAGAATGCCCTGCAGCACATATTTCAGAGTTTTAAATTCTTGTTCAGCTTGCAGTGTCTTTGCTCCAGGTGCAGCTGGTGAGAAACAGCAAGCAGTCCATGCATCAGTGTTTCGCTGTGATGTGGTGATATAAAGTGATGTCTGGTGTGTCAAGGCATGTAAGTGACTCAAGTATGCAGGTGTATCTCTGATACTGCGCAAAAAGAGTTTGCAGCAGTAAGGCAAGCAGAGAGTAATACTACCACTCTCACTTGGCACAGATGCTTCCTTTTTCCTTCAGTCTGCACTTCCTCTTTCTTCTAATTTCTTTGGGTGATTCACTTTTTTTTTTTGTCTGAATCATTTCTAAATAATGGCTCTCTATTAGCATCGTTATCACTCTTCCCACACGCACTGATGAAATCAGGAGCACACCCACCCCACACCTGGTTACCTGGACGCACTTTGTTTACAGTTAGCTTAGAAACACTGTAACGAGGAATGCAGGCATTGCATAATGCATTGTGTTAACAAGTAACAGCTCATTCGCAGAGGTAGACACGCACACAACTATCACAGTACACTCCTTTTCTCTGAAACTGCAAATGTGTTTTTGCATTTTGCACTCACACGTGCCTCTGCCTTTCTTTTTCCGAAGCCCTTTC